CTCCGGGCTTGGACACGTGTGTCTTCTTGCTGCGGACATACGTGTCCTCCAGATCTGGACACGTGTGTCCTCCAGACCTCGACATATGTCTTCCAGAGCTGGACGCAGGTTGCCACCTTGGCCACCAGCACCAGACGTGTGGTTACATATCGGTACCATGGCCACCAGAACCAGACACCCATGGCCATGAGTTGTCCACCACGGCCACCAACACCAGATACATGTGGCCATGAGTTGTCCACCACGGCCACCAACACCAGATACATGCGGCCATGAGTTGTCCACCACGGCCACCAACACCAGATACATGGGGCCACATGCGGCCATGAGTTGTCCACCACGGCCACCAACACCAGATACATGCGGCCATGAGTTGTCCACCACGGCCACCAACACCAGATACATGCGGCCATGAGTTGCCCACCACGGCCACCAGCACCAAACGAGTGGTTTCAGGTTGCCACCGTAGCCACCAGCACCAAACAGACGTAGCCACGAGTTGTCCACCGTGCCCACCAACCCCAGCCCTCAGAACCGGTGGCAAATTCCTCACCACGCTCATGGTGACCATCATCCTCCCACACCTCCCCTCCACCCCACGGCCTCGATGTCCGTGGTGGAGCCACGGGATGGTGGAAGGTGGCCACGTTTCACAGGGCTTTATTCCAGGAGGTCTTCCCCGGCGCACAGGGAGGACGGCGCGGGATGGGAGAAGGGAGAAGAAGACCTCTGGTGTTTTGGGGGAATGGGGTGAGGGGAGGACTCTTCTTTTTTGGGGGTGGCTCAGATGTGACCGTTCCTCCTCATGGTTTCATGGATCCAGGCGGTGAACTCGCAGACGCGGGTGTAGACACCCGGCTTGCCCCGCTGCCCGCAGACCTGCATGCCCCATGACACGATGCCCTGAAGCTCGTCCCGGCACACCAGAGGACCTCCCGAGTCACCCTGGTGGAGAGAAGCACCCCATGAGATGGACCCACGGTTGGGTTTCCCCAAAATCATCCAACTCCACCCCACGGGGACACCTCAGGCACGTTGGTTCTCCCTCAGGTACCACCATGTCCTATGGGGTCAAGGCATGGAGACCACCATGTCCTGTGGGGTCAAGACATGGAGACCGCCATGTCCCGTGGGTTCAGGGCATGGAGACCACCATGTCCTGTGGGTTCAAGGTATGGAGACCACCATGTTCTGTGGGTTCAGGGCATGGAGACCACCATGTCCTATGGGGTCAAGGTATGGAGACTGCCATGCCCTGTGGGGTCAAGGCATGGAGACCACCATGTCCCGTGGGTTCAGAGCATGGAGACCACCATGCCCTGTGGGGTCAAGGCATGGAGACCACCATGTCCCGTGGGTTCAGAGCATGGAGACCACCATGCCCTGTGGGGTCAAGGTATGGAGACCTCCATGACCTATGGGGTGCTGGACCTGAGGCCCAGGAGGTCCATATAGCACTGGAGAGGTCCCTATAGTGCCCTGGGGTCCCCGTAGCACCCAGGAGGGGCTGTAGAGTTCTTGGGGGTCCCTCTAGCACCCAGACCTTCCTATAACATTCTGGGGGTCCTATAGCACCCAGGAGGTCCCTATATTGTCTAGGGGTCCCTATAGCACCCAACGTACCTATGGAACCCAGGTGGTCCCTATAGCACCCAGAGGTCCCCATGGTCCCTACAGCACCCCGTGTCCCCAAAACCAATACACCACAGAGTTGGGTTCTTCTAGTGGTCCTCAACGTCAAGCGGGCAGGGCGGTCCCACCCCAAGTCTTCTCCAATGGGGTGTCTCCTCAAGGGTAGGGTGGGTGGAGCCACCCAGTCCTCAGCCTACCAGGGTGGGTGGGTGGGTGGGTGGGGGCAGCACCCTAAACCTACCTGACAGGAGTCGGTGCCACCCGAGCTGATGCCGGCGCAGAGCATGTTCTTGGTGATGCCTTTGGGATAGAGCTTGCTGCACTCCTCGTTGGGCATGGTGTAGACCACGCCGCACTGGAGAACATCGGGGAAGTACCCTGGGGATGGTGGGACATGGTCATGGGTCTTGGAACACACCTCAATCCAAGGGTAGGGTCCTGGCTGGACCCTCTCTCTTCCAGGGTGACATGGGTGGTGAGATCTCCACCATGGAAGATACCCTCAAGGTGAGGGATCAATGGTCACGTTGGAGGTTATTTGGTCTCCTGTGGGTGTGGACCTGGTGGACACCCTCCACGGTCAACCTATGGACCACTGATGAACCCAGGCCTCCCTCCAAGGGGAGATGTCCCCAAGATGTTGAGATGTCCATAGGACACTGAGATGTCCCCAGAACACTGAGATGTCCCCAGAACACTGAGATGTCCCCAAGAAGCTGAGATGTCCCAAAGACACTGAGATGTCTCCAGAACACTGGGGTGTCCTCAAGACACTGAGATGGCCCCAAGATGCTGAGATGGCCCCAAGACACTTAAGTCCAAAGATACCGAGATGGCCCCAAGATGCTGAGGTGGCCCCAAGATGCTGACATGGCCCCAGGTCCCTTGAGGACCCTCTCACGTGATGGCAGAAGGTTTTTCCACCTACCTTCAGGACTGCTGGTGCTTCCCCAACCCGACACGATGCATTCGGTGTTGGGTGGAGGACAACGTTTGGGAAGGGCCACGGGGTGGATGAGGTCGGTGAAACGGACCGGCTTCTGGAGCTTCAACAACATGATGTCACTGTCATGGCTGGTGGGGTTGTAGTTGGGATGGATGAAGGCCTTGACCGAGTTGACGCATTGCTCCGTTCCTTCCTTGGTCTTCAAACTGTGGTCGCCCATGCGGATAGGGATGGAGCTGAGAAACGAGGTGGAGAAAAGACCATGGTGAAGTTCTCCGGTGGACGTGGAAAACGTCAGGGAAGGTCCACGTGGTGGAGGTTGGGAGGAGCTCCTGAGAAGTAGGGCAGAAGGCTTTTCCCTCCTATCATTAATATCTTTAACCAGATGGGGAAACTGAGGCTCGGAGACCAAAGTCGCCCAGCAGGTCAGCCGGAGAAGTTGGCCAAGACAAGACGAATCCTCCCTGGTCCAACCCAAGTTGAAGAAGAACCGGCTTCGACCTGGAGACCCGGATGTCCTGGCCACTCTCCAGGTCCCTGCCACGCCCAACTAAACCCTAAAATTTGGATTTTCTTCCTCATTTTTGGTTTTGTTTTGTGGTTGTTTTTTTTTTTTTACTGGTGGATCCTCCTCGTGCGTTGGTACTCAACCAGGAGAAGGTCGGACCACCAAAAAGTGGAGGAATGTCCACGTTTCTACCTCAAGGAGATGGCTTGAACCCCCCCCGTGGCGTGGGGACGGTGGCCTCCGTGGTCCTCCCATGGGTTCAACACGTGGGGTGCCCCTTCCCAGACCAGTCACACCAGTTACCGCAGGTTCCTCAAACTGGTTTGCCCCTCTCCACCCATCCTGTTCTGGTCCAGGCCAGGTCTAAGTCCAAAGAACTGGTGGGAATGGGGAGAGGAGAAGACCTCCCCATCATCGGTCACCAAAATTTGGGGAAAGTTCAGGTCCTTTTGGGCCAGCCCTCCCCATTGTGGCCACCTCCCCCGGCTGCCTCAGGTGGCCAAGGGTGGAGACCTCCATGGGAGAGTGAGGACCATGGGACGTGGTGCCCATGACCCAGCATCTCCTGGAGAGAGGGACCACATGGCTCTTGGGGAGATGTCTGCATGACCCTGCAGAACCTCAGGAGATAGGAGAACCTCTTGGCCATACTCAGGGGAAGCCCAGCTGGATGGTTGTGGTGGCCAACCCAGTTAGATGGTCATACTGGGAAGCCAATGTGATGGTTGAGGTGGCCAACCCAGTTGGATGGTCATACGGGGAAGCCAAAGTGATGGTTGTGGTGGCCAACCCAGTTAGATGGTCGTACTGGGAAGCCAATGTGATGGTTGAGGTGGCCAACCCAGTTAGATGGTCGTACTGGGAAGCCAATGTGATGGTTGAGGGGGACAACGCC